AAAAAAAGATAGTTTGGCGTTTATCTCTACAAAGGCCTAATCCCATTTCACGCCTTCTCCCTACCCCTACACCACTGGTCACCAGTAGTCGTCGATGTAAACAGACGCGACAAAAGGTTTTGCCGGGGATGTCATTGTAATAACATTGTTGAGATCTTAAATAAACCAATGCTATTTCTTGCAGTTACTAAAGTGACAAACCTATAATATCCTAATAACATCTAGGCTAATGCAGGTGAATCAATGACATCTGCCATACATCCAATGGAAATTGAAAAGCTTGGATGCTTGGCATTATTTTAAGGCTTCAGGCTGCTAGCAGTGGTCTCTAGGCAACCCTGCCAGGACACATCGTTATTAGAGGAGCAGTTAAGTTCAGTAACCTCGCTGCTATATGCTGGTTTGATTAATTGCATCGTGTATCTTCAAAGAGGTGGGGTGCGACATGAAATAATGTCAAAATACAGGATTATCATGAAAATGCTAGCATGCTCACACTAGCATAAAATTAGACCATATTAACATAATACATTGAAACAATATAAGACTAAGATATTAAAATGATTATTATAATTTTTAAATCCTTATTAATGGAGAAAATACTACATTTGTTGGTCTCTCTCTCAGCTTGCCGGTGATTTCCATGGCATTCTGGGAAATTCTAATTGCCCTCAGTTTGAAGTGTGTGTCTGTACAGCCCTAACACTTGGCCCTCTCCTCCTTCCCAACAAGTATTGGGACAACCTTCCCCTACACGCAAACACGCAAAATGGAGGGAAAGGGCTAATGGTTGGGGAGAAGGGGTGAAATGGGATTGGACCTTACTGTCACAGACGTATGGCTTGTCATCATCCAGGTCTGTCCTCCTCCGGCCTGAACCCCGACCCTGAGGAAATAATAATAAAATACTCCATTAACTCCTTAACTTAAATATGAACCTTCCAACAAATAAGCTGCATCAATGTTTTTAACAGATACTGACAAAGTAGGTTTTCCTAAACATCTTGGAGTCCCTGCTAATGTGCAACCGGAGTCCATTTGGTCACTTACTCTTCCTTTGCCCCGATGTCTCCTTTTGGGAGTGTCCACCTCGTAGTCGTCATCATCGTTGAAAGCGTCTTCTGCTGCGTCTGCTTCCAGAACCCTCTGAGACACACAGAGACAGAGCCACAGATGCAGATAAATGTCTGATGTCATCATATTCTTTATTGGTTGAATTTGTTTAGTACCAGTAGGGTGAATTTATAAGTTATCTAAATCATGGTTCTCCAGGCTTTGTTTTCTTCTATGTTCATTTTTCAAAAGGGACATTATATGGAACATACGATGTGCAGATCTTTTTGTGACAGAGATCTGAGATAGCTTGGACTGACAGAAAAACTGAATAAAAATGTCATTCATTTTTAATCTTTTTTTGCATGATTGTGTGGACATAACGTATTAGTTCCATATGTAACAGTGAGTAAATGGAGATCAAAGTTGAAGCAGTTCACTTGTCCAAGCTGCCTCCTAGCGAGACAGCGGTCTGCTAACGAGCCCCGCAGGTCAGCTGGAAAAACTTGGCAAGTTGCCTTGACAACCGGTTGGGGCACAACACTCCATTGCCAGAGCCAGGCCCTTTTATCGTTTGAGTGATACCACTGAACATTTACATTTCAAACATTTGGCTGAGGAGCTTAACCAGAACAACACACACCACACACACCAACCTGGATCTCCAGCAGACTCTCCTCGTCATTCTTAGCGTTCCTCTTGTCTAGACCCTCTCCTCGCAGCAGAGCCTCCAGTGTGGTGCTCTGAGTGGGTAAGGTGTCCTTGGACATGAGGCTGCCGTCTGCACAAAAACAAGTAACACATGATGACTCAACAAAACATGAGTTAAGTATTTATTTTATAACGCAAGGTGTATTTTTATATATATATATGGCTTAAAATAATTGTTCATTAATCAAGGTAAAACATTATCGTGATATTGATTTGGAGTCATAATGCCCAGACCTAGGTCGAAGTTCACTGAATTTGAACTTTACCTGAAGCCATGCTGCGATTTGCTTCGCCATAGGAGGTGAATGTTTCATTTACCTCCACGATCGTACAGATTGGAAGAGAAATTTCACTCCTAATACATTCAAACAGATGGAGCTTTCTGTTCATACTCAGCGTTCAGTTTGGCAGGTCAATTGGTGCAGGTCTTCTGAAAGCAAGCGAAACAGAGCAGTTCCACCGGAAGTCTTGGGGGGCAGTGTAGCTAATAGTTTAGGCAAGACTGCCATAAGGCATGTGGAGGAAATATAAACAAAATTACGGAACTTTTTGAGGTGAGATCTACTTGTTAAGGAACTATATATATTTATATGACGATACTTTGCCCAAGCACAGAGACAAACAGCTGCTTTTGTCTCATTCTGAGAAGGTTCTGAGAACATTATCACAACTTCCTCCATGTCACGTTTGTTGTCAAAATCTCTGCACTGCCATCTAGTGGATGTAGTGCTTAACAACCATGTCAATGTGAAGGACACAATAGTATGAGGGCAGCAGCGATTGGATCGTTTGAAACCAACATATCTCTTTTCATCTGAGCCTTGACATATGCTGTTCTTCTTCTGCAGCACAATCAAACACTGTAACTGTGACAAGAACCAGCACTACAATATGAGCTACATGAGCAGCATTCTATAAGCATATTTCTATTATCATCTTCCTCTCACACTAGTCATAATAAAAGCATGTGGCAAATTGCTGGAGCAACTGTTTGTTATATCAGCTGTCACTTGTTTTGCCTGGAACAGAATGTCATGACAACTATCTTCACAGCACTATATAACTGACAAGGCATATGGTTTCATTCTAAAAGAGAAAGCATCGTCATTGTTGAGTTTTCAGTAACGCTGCACCATGTAGGCTGACTTTGTCCACAGGAATTTCTGAGGTGCAGTGTAGTTGAGTGGCTTATCACTTTAACCTGAGCGCATCATGCAGATATCTCCTTCTACAGGGAGCGGAAGACATAAACAAACAGTGTAGGAGGGAAGCAAGTTGACAAAACAGAACAAATAAAAGCTTCGACAGTCGGTCAGATCCGCACGTCTTATTTACAGAATCTCCTCTCCACAGAGCTTCGTGATCATGCAGCTGCTCTGTGGATGTTTGAAAAGAAGACACACTTCAAAGCCCCTCTGACTGCAGCCTTCTATCTTTCTTCATCTCACCACTGCGCCCACTAGAAAGACTTCTGCAGAATATCGAACAAGAAGTGCAGAAGCTACAGAGCACTGCATAGGTATAAGAGGCAGACACAAGAGGTAGGCGTGACAAGCACATCCAACACGCTTCTCTAAAATGGGCCCCTCCACCATGTGGCGGCAGCCCCTAACCATTGTGTCTGCACACGTTGACTTTCAACTCTCCGCGACGAGACAGACCCCCCCCCACACCACCGCTTCCCTCCCTCCCAACCCATGGGAGCTGGGGGGCTAAAAATAGAGCCAGCAGCAGCCTGCAGCAGGGAGCTGATTCTGCATGCAGCCCCAGTCTCTAGCACACCATGAGTTAGACGAGCTTGCCGAGGCAGCGAGACAGAGTCTGGCTGCTGCCCTGTGCTGGGCACCTCTGGCCAGCTGCAGGACATGCTCTGTACAAGAGACGCCAGGTTAAATCAGGGTATGTTTCCCCTCTGATTGGCGCTGACAGACGGCACATACAACCGACTGTTGTTGGAGAAGGGAAGGGACAGCAGGGTGGCGGTGGTGGTGGTGGCGGGGTCTTTGCGAGCGCCAGCTCAGTGGAAAACAATAGACTACAATGGGATGTGTTTGGGAAACAAAGGCTTGGTTCTATCCTCTCTTTTTCTACGCTATCTATCCATCTTGTTTTCTCTTTCCAGGCTCTTTTCCTCTGTCTTACTTTCTCTACTTCCCAAACATTTGTCCTTTCACCACATAATTCAAGAATGAACCGAAACTAATACAAATTCAAACATGTAACATTATATTTCTCTCTGTTGCCATGTTCATTAAGATAGCACAGCATCCCAGTGGGTATACAAGCCTTGGGCACAGTTATTCAAGCTCAGGATCACTGGCCACAAAACACACACAGGCGGCACCGCAATTTATAGAGACGGATGGAGGACCTGCCAGAGGGAAAGAGACAAAACCAATCAGCAAGGGAGGTGGTAAGTAGAAAATAAGATACAGGGAGAATGTACTGTAGACGAGAGCGTAAACGTTTTGAGTGAGCGGTTTCAAGTGGCAGCCCGAGAAAAGCCAAACTACATTCAATAACATTTATTAAATACTGTCTTCAGTGGCCGAACTCTGTCTGGCTGCTCCCAGCAGTGGCAAATCTAATTACATGTTCTACTTCTCACAAAACAAGTTTACCAGCTGGGGTGAACACAGCCACATTTCATCCTCTGAAAAATGACTGGCAGCCTGTTCTGCTCAGTGTGTGGAGACAGAGTGATATGCTTTTAGCGAGATTATTCCAGATCATCACCAGTAATCACATGAGCTGAAGGAGGTGGGTGGGAGACGAGGGAGTGAGAGGGAGAGAGAGATGGCTGAGCAGGAAGAGAAAGTGAGAGGAGCAGGAAGCGATGGACAGGTAGTTTAAGGACAACGTAGGGTCTTACCGAGCTGCAGACCATAGATGCCCAGGCGGGGATCCGTGGCATTGTGCAGCCGTCTTTTCTTTCTCCAGCAGCGGGCGGGGTACGTGTACATCTGCCCAGCTGAAACCCCTGCATGATAACAGAAATACAACAACAATTTCATCTCTTGAGACACTGATTAAAATGTTTAATATAGCTTTACTACTTATTTTGCCAAATAGACAATTTGTTTTGTCTGACCAACGATCCAGAACATAATAATATTCAACTTACAATCATATAGGGCTGGGCGATATGGAAAATACCTTGTCACAATAATTTTTTTTCATATCAGTTGATATCGATATACAGTATATCAAGATATTAATCAAATCACTATTTTTGTCATTTCTGCTTCAGATGATAAAAAGGATCCGTGGTATTACCTGTCTTTGTTAGAACATGCTCTCGACACAATTTGCAGTGCACGCTAGTCTGCTACTTATTGGACTTTAAATATCTCCACACTACCAGAATTCCTCGGACCCTTCTTTTCAACAAATGTCTTCGTCTTTTGACCCTTGGTCTGTGTCTATAGTGGTGTCTTCTTCTGTAATGCTGTCGCTCAAGTTTTCGTGAACATTTGTCTCTTCATTTTCTCTTTTATATCGCGCGGTAGCCTAAACAGTAGCATGTGTGCTGCTGCTGCCGGCTGCTCCTCTTATGCTCTTTGCTGTGTGTGTCCACCTAACCTGATTTGGCACTATTCTCATTATCACTGGCTGTTGGTGTTGTCTGTCAAAACATGGAACGAATGAGTTCTATTGAAGTTGTATCAACCATGTCTCATGTTTCTATTGGGGAAAGTTATTTTGCAAAAATCGTTTTATCGCCCAACCCTTCGTGTAATATAAAAGTAGAAAACACCTACATTAAGGCAAAAATGATCAACTTCAAGGATCAACTGATAATTAAAGCTTGACTTTTTGCTGATAATACCCACTGATGTTAGCCTCTGACAGATATATATCACGCTTGTTTTACAGAATGAACAGCCGAAAATATGTGGACTTATGTTTCAGAAATTATTTTCTTAGTTCAAGTTCTATTCCATTGCATTTGTGTTTTCTATTTATTTATTTAGTCATTGATAATATGGTTAAACTGTTAAATATCAAGCATAAATTACATTTCTTTGTCATAAGCATTGATAATGACATTTTAGGAATCATCGCCAATTTATACATCGTCCAATATATCTCAAATGTTTTAACTCTTCATTGGTACCGGCCCCCCCAAAAATATGCCGGGCTCTACTGATGATCAAATTTCTTAACAGCAAATTTTCTGTCTATCTACTAGTTGTCTCAATTTGACCATCTAAAGTGAATATCTTTTGGGATCAGACAACTGATTAAAATAATAGGTTTAAAAAGGTCACCTTGGATTGTGGTATAATTGCAAGTAGCATTTTATTGACTTAACAACTGAGTGAAAAAGCAATCCAAAGATTAATCAATAATGAAAATAATTATTTGAAACCCTTGTCAATATTCTTACATAACGTAGATGCAGACACTATTTTACAAGCATAATGGACCAAATACAACTCTGTGTATGTGTGTGTTTGCCCACCAGGGCTACGGTGGTGCCGCTCCATCCAGATGTAGCAGTTGTTCTGGGCCACACCGGTTTGTGAGTCGAGGAATGGCAGGCGGACGCTGCGTTCAGCACACAGGCGGGCATTGTAGCTGCGACACTGCTCGATGGCCTCCTTATAGAATTGGTCGCCCAACCTGCCGGGGGGAGCAACAATAGCAGCAGAGGTCAGTGACCCTGAATGATGTGGTCATCACTGGTCGACACAGCTAGATCAGTGAATCAGTTATACCGCTTTCCGGAAACTCTGGACATTTTTGTGACATGTATGGCACCTCTACTGCGTCTGTTGTGCGTTAGATTCGTCATCAACACTGCTCGCTCACCGTCCTGCCTTACTCTCACATGAGCTCACTCTGACATTTTGATAATGCGCTGGAAGTAAATGTCCAGAGCAACTGACTTGGACATTTCTGTCTTTTCATATAGCCTCTTCAGAAAATGTCTGGCTTTCTAGTGTTCTAGCTTCTGTGTACGTCTGAAAATGGATTTATTTTGCTACAAGATGACTGAAAGCAGATCAAAACAATAGTATAAGGAAATAAATAACAGTTGCTTCTTTGAACAAAGAGTAATACTGTAAGATTGGAAAACCTCAGAAACCAAAATAATGCTGCTAGTATCTGCCATCTAATCAGTCCTGTTCAACGTAAGTATCAAACTGACAAGTCTGCTGAGTCTCTCTGTCCTCTTTCTAGCTTTCCATTAGGTAAAAATATGTAGAAAGAAAAAAGAAACCCAGTTACAACAGTGCAGTCACTCTCCTGCTCCCACTCCTGAGGTTAAACATATTATTACCTCTGTGGGCTCTTTGTCTGATCCGATTCTCGATTGGCTGTGAGCTGCGCTGGCGGGTTAGATTATCATGACAACACTGAATCCGCAGCCTGACATGCAACTCGCTCCTCTGACCAGCGAGCAGCAAAGACTCCACACTTGAGTTCCACTTTTCTTGATGCCACTGAGATTTTGTCAGTCCCTTAGGGTGTCAGAGTTAATATTCAGAGTGAAATGGGGGAGGATATTTCACATTCAAGCCCTCGATCGGTGCCACACGCCTGGTATGGTAATTAGCCTACTTAATTAATCTCAGCAGAGTGTCTAGTACAAGGGCAGGTTCTAATTTGACGACATCAAAGATGATGGTAAATGCTTCAACTTCAAAATCTCGGTAAGGTACTTGTACGTGTGCTGTTTTATCATAGAGCAGACAAATAATACTGTAGCAACTGGTTCTTCAAGCTCAAACATCTCCACATCCGCATTATAAAGTTCCCCCACATGTTCTCAATTACAACATTAGGAAGGCGGCCATTTTGAAGTGAAACTAATGAGCTGCGGGCTGCGAGTCAAGCCTGGAATCTTAAACTAGAGGTGGAGGAGATGGGAGGCTGATTTGTCAGCGTCTTCCAGATCCTGCACTCCTGCTTTCTCTCCCTCGCACTTTTTCTTTAAGTTTGTCTTTACCCCTAACCCTCCATGAGATGACGTCCAACAGATGAACAGCCCTGTTAGGAATGCTGTCCCGCACAAAAGCCCAGACAAAGCCACAGTGTGTGAGGCTTCCTGGGAAAGGGAGGCTTCATTTCAGTGTGGGTGAGAAGAGTAAACAGTCACAGGTACAGAGTGAGCGCAGGGAGGGGTGGAAAGGTGTTTGAGCAAGAGAGAGAAAAATAAAAACAACAAGACAGCAGAGTTCAGAAGACAAGATGGTGAGAAGAGAGGTTGAGCACTTAAGAGCAGATTATGACTAATAAATATGGGTCATTGCTTTTTCTTCAGCGTGTTACAACCGCACCAAGGTAGCAGCTTTATTGTAGGCAATAATCACACTATAACAGGTCTACCTTGTAAAGATGTCATCCAGCTTTCTCAGGTTTTAAGAGACAGGAATCTTTACAAGAGCAACTAAGAGGGCACTTGGAGAGCGCATACCTCCACAAAGGCTGATTTGCCTTATTATATTGTGATCAGACACAAACCATGTACACAGACTTATTCTGTAATTGGAACACAAAACATTAAACACTGGCAAAATATCCATTATTTGATATTGTTTAAAGGAATATTCGTTACCCAACAGTAACTGTCACCCAGTAAAAATATAAATTTAGATTTGCAAAAGCCAAATCATACATTTCACCTGTTCATAGATATTCGGACCCTACACATGGCTGTTTTTTTAATGAGAATCTGCATTATTTCTTGAAAAATTCTCAAAAATGTAAAAAAAACAATGTTAAATACAGTGGGGGAAAAAATCCTCGATCCAAACCAAAATGTAATGGATGCTTCCCAAACCCATATCACATCCTTCCAAGTTTCAAGGTAATCTGGCTCAAGGTAATCTCAACTATACTCAAAAACAGGTGGGACATCTTTGACATCTGCGTCAAGCTAACCCGTTTGCCTCACTGCCATTCCCCGATGTCAACACACTTTCCTGAAGAGAAGCTTTGTAACATATCAGCTTACTAAAAACAGACCCACTGTAAATGCTCCCTGAAGCCCACTACGATGGCACGCTCACCGGCAGGTGCCAAGAAACTTACTCGAGTCCAACAGAGTGTGGTGGGGTGCTCTGGGTTGGAGGTGGGGGATGAGCAGGTAGAGGGTGAAAGAGAAAGTATATGTACTGAAAGTCTTCTGGTGAGTGAAGCCCATCTGTGTGGCAACATGGCACGCTCTCCGTCACAGAATCTGGCGGCCCGAGCAGCAGGTGTGCTGGCTTAGGTGAGAGATCTCTCCGACACTTGTAATGAGTGATGAGACCCAGACGTGTGACAACACAGGAAGCGAGAGGGAGTCATATCTTCCTTAGGCACAGACATGCACCAACCACTGAAACTTTCTCCATCACAAATGGACTACAGACCAGCTTTCTGGTTCAACTTTGATCTTCTTTACTTGCATTAGCTTTGTTACTATTACTTTGACAAAACTCCCTTTGAGTTACCACCAAAAAACAAACGTTTAGATCAGTGGTTCCTTATGTCTTGGGCTATGTGATAAATTAAAATGAAACTATGTCAAGCCAAATAATCTCAATTGCCCCCTGGTGGTTGGCTGCAGTGGTGATTGTCCCCTGACGGGACATGGACGAATTAAAACGTCAAGCAGTTATTCTGGATGGGTTCTGTCATTTTAGATAGCTCTCGTCACACTAATGTTTGTTCAAGAATTCAGTTTTCTGGTAAGTCTGGTTTTAATAGCTCATTTGATGCTATAAAAACAGGGTTAAAGGGCATGATTGACAGCTGAGTCTGACTCGGGATTGGTCGAGCACATGTTCCCACCGCCCCATCTCCTGATTGCTACTACATAGACTCTGGCTCCAATTGCAAAACATAGCGCCATTTGTATCCAGGATATTTTGTCTCCTTCTTCTCTTAATCATTTCAAGACACCAGAAATGTGGTTTATGATAAACCAGGAAAATGAATATCAGTGCACAATATGTAGTTTTCTCTCGACCAAAACTATATAAAATAGACAAAGTATGACGTAGTGCTAAGTAGCATGGAATCATGCGAATTGACCACCATTGCAGTCAGCTTCTCCCGTTTATGATTCCTTCAGTGTTAATCGTTCAGGAAGTTTATAGCTGGAGACAAATAATCTGCAACGGTGTAACCCTCTGTGAATCAAATGGACCTGATGATTACAACCAGTAAAAAAGAATAATACACAGAGGGGCTGCGAGCTGAGCTGGTAGCTTTAGAACCAGACGACTAAAATCCTTCATCTGTCCATCTCATCTTAAAATATAGTTTAAAACTACCAATACATAAAAAGTGTGTTTTAAAAAAGTGGCTTGAAATGATAAAAAGTACATTTCTGACCACAACACTGAGACACAAACAAAGAGGAAACAACACCATTGCACAGTTACAAAGAATGAAATGACATTTGCGTTACAAAATGACATGCAGTACACAACTCAACAAAATATATACAACAATAACTTAGACATTATGTGTAATACCTTTAACCCTGTCAGATGGTGACAAAATACTGCAGACTCAAGGACTCAGAGTAAACTAGAAACCTTCTGATTTCACATGTTTCAGACCTTAACTAAAGGTGTCTCAGAGGTACAGTATGTGGCACACACCCTCTATATCTTCCAGTTGAGTAGAGAAGGTGAGAGTGTGCACGAGGGCGAAAAACAAAAAGCAAGTCTTGTGGCCAGCGGGGGCCTCCGCTATCAACGTGTTCCTGTCAACGGTTCACTGTGTCACATGGTTGCGGCCGTAATGCGAGCACGTGTCAATGCCTGTTTTGCATATCTAATGACAAAATTTGGGTTTGCAGTAGAGCAGCTCGCATTGTGTTGCCACGCTAAAACTCCTATATACTTTAGCACAGGCCAGCGTTCAGGAGATTCACGATGATCTAGAAAAACATATGCTCTGTTCAGGAGGGTTTTCACATCTGCAGGTGCACATCTGTTTTACAGGAAGCTACAGCTACCACATAACAAGAGCTGGGGGAGGAGGTCGTATAGAGTGACTGCATCCTTTCAGCCACCTCTGATTGCACCAATCAGAACGTCAGTCTGAGGGCAGGAGTACAACCAGACCATACACCATCACATTCAAGAGCCAATAAAGAGCCTGACTCACTCAAAGTGTAGGTTTCTCAACACCAGTGGCAGGGTAGCAGATAATTGGGGGAAGGACCAGGAAGATGAGTCCAACCTGTAGAAACCTCCAGCTGTGGCTAAAAATTTAATGAGCAGCTCTATAAGCTTCCTTATTAATTAAATATTCCAGACTCCATTTTAATCAGCAGATTCTGGAGATTACCGTCCTCCTATCACAATGCTCAGACGAGAGGGATGGACCTCACACAGACGTGCACGGACTTGCACGCTGCAGCCTCATTTGACGCCACATCTCCACAACAAAGTCAAATCTGGCATTTCATTTCTCAGTGAATCAATTTAATACAAAAAAAAGGTCAAACTGGTCCACAGGAGTGACATCCAATTAGTGTCAAGTATGTATAATTATAATCTGACAAACTTGTGAAATGAAGTCAGAAACCCGAGACAGAGGCTAATGATAGCAGACTGAAACACTTCATTAAGCACAGCTTATAGTGAGGAGACATTTCACATCAGAATGCTAAAACGTCTCTGAGATGAAACAGCAGCTTGACAGCAGACGCCCGACAGAGCTGGTTGGGACGCAAGAGAGGGGGAACGATCCAATGAGGTAATAATGAAATGCTCTTTCCAGTAATAAGGGAAAGTACGTGATACAGGACATAATGATAGTTCACAATTACATCAAACACTTTAACATCAGCTGCGTCACTTTGCTGTGCATGTGCCTGTAGAGGGACGCTGCGGTCATATCCTGTCATTCAATGATGGGTAAACAATTGTGAAGGCAGGGACACTGCATGAGAAGTGCAAGCAGCATCAGTCAACTCATATAAAGAATGTGCAGGTGGATGAAGGAAGGAGAAAGTTGTCTTGTAAAAGGACATACAGCCGCTGTGACTCCTTAGTCATCACTGACTATCACAGAAGTAAAGGAGGACGTAAGGCCAACATAATCATTTAAAGATGAATAGTCTTTGGCTAGTAGTTGGGCAATCGGCTCTCGTCTGCTGACAAATTTGCCAAACAAAACACAAACAGTGATACAGGTATTTCAGGTCCAGACGACATTTTGGCTAATCTCTATTAACAGCTATCTGCATCTGAATGCAGATAAATCAAAAAGGCGCTCCACACAGACTGTTTACCTACTAACAACCTGAGCTTGCTCAATAGGTGATTGGTCAAACTAGAAAAAGAAACCAGGAAGCTTCTGGCCCCAAAATCTACATATTCACATGCAGAATCTAATAGAGATCAGTTGGACAGCTGTCCACTAACCAGGAGGTAGGGGGTTCAATCCCAAGCTCCTCCGATCCGTAGTCCAACGTGAACCGAATGGCCCCTGACAGTTGAACCGATAGCGTATGAATGGGTAAATGCAACTTGTACTGTAAAGCTCTCGCTTAGCAGAAAATAGCAATGTGCAATGAAAAGAAAACGCTCATGCACCAATCAGACATTAAAAAACATCCTTCTGATTTCTCCTGCATCAACTCCTATAGGTGCAGTAATAACACGAGTGGGAGATGCAAGGGTGCCATGGTGTTGTGTGGTCCACTCCTCATGCTACGGTCCACGGAGGTGCCAGGGTACCTCTGTGGAGGAGCAGATGGTTCTCCTGCTTGTGCCTGACACTTCCTCCCTGTCGGAGCATCTCTCTGACAGATGGGCCCACGATCCTGGACCAGGCTAATCTCCAGCACTCCTCCACTTAAAGGCACAGCAGAGAAATCCTCACACACACACACACAGTCCCACAGAGCCATGGTGAGCCACATTACAGCCCATCACCAGTGCCATCACTACCTGACACGTCCAGCTCAATGTATTGTGCGTTTTAAAAGATAAACGACCTGGTCACCATGTGAAATGAACCCGGGGAGGAGGCGAGCTGTGTGCAACTTACAGTAACACGTCCACCAGAGGAATTGGTGGAACAACAAGGGGAACAAAGGAGAAACGAAAGGGAAATGAGGTGGAGCGTTTCAGTGAAGTTGAGGGACAGAGGTGACCATTGCACGGGCTGCTGGAGCCTATTTCCACCGGCGGACTCACACCGCCGCTGACACTTTTTAGTCGTTTTCGCCAGCAGCAAAGCGTGCGAACACAAAATGCCTCCCCCCTTCGCTCCGCCGCGTCCCGACCACGTCTGCGCTCGGAGGAAGCCAAAGTTGACATGTCGACATTTCACGCCGACTGGAAACCACTTTTGGAATGTCAGCCGATGTTCCGCCACCGAGCTCGGAGGAGGAGGAGGAGGGGGGATCGACTTTTACCGATTCGGTGCGGCGGCGGCTCCGCAGACTATCAGCCACGCTGTCGACAGCTTTTCCCCTCAAAATAAATTTACAACCCGGGGGAGGACGACACTCTCCTGGGTTCGGTGCAAACCCGTGACGGGGAGAGGCTCCTCCGGTGCGGGGGAAATGTCAGGCAGCACATGTTAGAGACTAAAAAGATCCGAAAATCTTCGCGGAATAAAAGAAGTGAGCAGCCGGGGCTACTTTGCTGTGCAAGAAGTGCACTAAATACAACATGGACAGCTCAATGCGACGCGTGCACACGACAGGAAAACGACATGCACGAGCGGCCGTCCGCAACACACGAGTTGGCAACAAAGTAATAATTCACAATTTCCTCAATGTCTAAATTACTTACGCTTTTAGTGGGTTCTGAATGACAGCCGCCATTTTGCTACCATGTAACGCAATATCGGCGTCTTGCAGTTCTGAGGGAAACCTACGGGAATTGGCCAATCAGCGCTCGGGGTGAATTCGCGGACCAATGCGTTTGCAGCACAGGCGGGCGGGGCGTGGCCTGACGGGGGTAAACTGTCAAAATTATTTTAAAGGGTTTTCCCTTCTGTTTGAATTGTGCACAAGTGAATAACAGCAGCTTTAAAGAGACCCTCACTGGAGCTGGGTCACATGTCAGGTGAAGACCCCCCCCCCACCTTTGGATGAGTGGCACAGAATTATCAACATGGAAGCTGGTGTAATTATTTATTAAAATAATTATAAATCATTTATCATCATTAATAAGCACCGGGCTAGTAATCTTCCCTCACTTTATCTTGGAGCTGGAATGCTGGGAGAGGAATGGAAGCGAGGCGTGCACACGATCTATTCCTCCCACATGCAGTAAGTGGTGTGACACAGGGCGATATAAAACACACACACACACACA